ATACAGCGAGCATACCCCCACACACACATGTGCACACATACTGTACATGAAAAGTAATTACAGACAATATATAACCCGCAGTTGATTACAGAGGAATGGGATTTGAAGATGTTTTGCAACATCACCTGGCACTGAGCTAATACTGGCAATTGGGATTAAAGCTGCAATGTTGGAAGACTGGGACATTGTGTGTGTGTCTGTGTGTGTGTGTGTGTGTGTGTGTGTGTACGTGTATGCATGCCCTGATGTGTGTGATGCATGTAATCTTCCAGGGCACATTTGGCCTTGAGCAGAGGCTGATGATTGCCATTTCTCCCTCCATTTGCAAAGTGGAGAAAAGAATGCGGCAATGTATTTGAATGACAGCAGCTGGTGGTCTGAAAATCTTTTGCTTTGGACCAGTGACTATGGGGCAAGTCTTTTGCGCATGGGTGCTGGTGGAAGTGGTCAGAAATCTCCAGGTTACGTTTTATTTTACTGCTGGAACTAACATTTCTTGAATGCCTTTCGTCAGAATGTTCTATGCTGTTTCCAAATTGAAGATTCGACGGTACTGGATTCTTGGCTATGTTTTCTAGCCCTGGCTGGCAAATTAATACAGGGAAGATGAAAAAGGTGTAGAAATCTGTACCAAGATGATCTGTGTCAGAATAACAGGCTGGGATTTCCCAGGCAAAGGCAACAAACAGAAGACTACTGAGATCACTGACCGAGGCCTGCAAATTCCTTGTCAATCATTATTTGAAGAAGGCAACTAAGGGTATGAGCTCATCAGGGTTTGTTTTGCTCTGGGACAAAACCGTCATGGCCTCGTTTTTGGCAAACTGTCAGTAGCCAACAGCCTTTGATAAACCAATTGAAATCTTGCTGGCTTTCAGTTCCCCATCAGTATTGTAACCTAGGACACCATTCTGGTTTGTGGCTTGTTTGGGATGAGACGTGTGGACTGACTGCCTTGGAGTGAGGCGGCCAGGCAGTGCTACTTGGGGAGGCAAATGTGGGGAAAGAGATGAGGGAGGAGGAAAGGACTGGCCAAAGATGTGAACAACCCAGTGAAAAATCTGAGCCTCACACTCTAGGGCAGGGGTAGGCAACCTCGGCTCTTTTATGACTCATGGACTTCGACTCCCAGAATTCCTGAGCCAGCATAGCTGGCTCAGGAATTCTGGGAGTCGAAGTCCATGAGTCATAAAAGAGCCGAGGTTGCCTACCCCTGCTCTAGGGCCTCACTGCTAACTCAGCTGGATGGAAAGATGAAAAATGGAGCAGGAAAAGGTGGTGGGTGGTAGGAGAAGCCCTGCATGAAGGCAAGGTTTTCTGGGCAGGCACAGATCGAAATCATCAAGCAGCATCCATCGCTCCCTCCTCCTGCTTCTTCCCATCCTCCTTTCCTAGAAATGCCTAGTCACTGCAGGCAGCAAAGGCGTTAGAAAGGGCAAAGATTTGTGAACTACGACACTTGGCAAATCAGCACCCAAAGCAATCTCTGCCATCGAGCTGACACATTCACAATGGGACTAGAGTCTGCGGGGCAGAAATGTCCCAGGAAGCAGTTAAGGTGTGAACAGCTGGTCTTGGACACTGATTATTATTATTATTTCTGTCGAGGCAACATGGCCTCATCTTGTGGACACTTCGTGGGTCTTCCTATCATTTCTTTCCTGCAGAGCCCCTTCATCAATTAATATTTTCTTTAGCACACAATGTGCCTCGTTGGCATCAATATTTTAAAAAATGTTTTTAAGGATGAAGGCAAATTCTACCAAAAAAAAAAAAAAGACGGCAAAGGAGACAGTAACTCTTGTGTGCAAAAGAATGAAAGAGGCTTTTTGTTACTGAGTCTGTGGCAACAAGGAGAAATAGTCCTGCAAAGGTTAACTCTGAGGAGGGATGTGAAACTGTGGCTGAAAACAACATGCTTTCTAAAGGGGATTTTAGTTACTGTGTTCTATATTAATAGGAAATGGAAGGAAAATGTACTGAAAAATGGCCTCCCAGTCTTAATACTGAGTCACAAATTTATTTTTGCTTACAAGGTAATGCGGTTCTCAAAAACGACACCTATATGGAGATCTTGGTAATAGCACACTATATTTAAATCGAATCAATTAAAAGAGTCAGTGATTTGTTGGAGGCAGCTGGAAGAAATGTGGGCAAGAACGCCAATGAAAATGCCCATTTTCCCAAAGGGATAAACTGAGGAAGAATTCAGATGGAATAGACATGTCTAATACATTAGCTACATAGCCCCAAAATGACCAAAGGAGTATAAAAACCCCTACAATGCCATTTTTTTTTTAAAAAGAAAACAATGTGAAAGAAACACATGCAGCTTGCTTGCAGATTGTCAATTTAATAACTGCATGTGATGCACTAAACTCTGAACCAAGCATTATGAAAAATAGGTTTGTTTATTAGATGTGATGCTATACCGGCATCTTGCATAGTGTTTCTGACTTGCAAATAAACAAAATTAATTTAAGGAGTTCTGCTGAATTTGATCTGGTATCCATGCAGCCCAAGCATTTTGTTTGTAATGGCAACCAGCTCCGAAGCTTTCTAGGGACTCACAAATCAAGCATGAGAGTCTTCCTCCATAGGTTTCCACGGCAGATGATATTCAAAGATACACAATAACTGGCTATGGAGGCTCTATTTAGCTTTTCAGGCAGGCATTTTGTCATGCCTGGCTTGGTGATTGACAGTTGTTCTCTGAAGCAGCAGGTAAACACATCAGAAGTCTTAAAACTGATCACACCAGAAAACAGTATTAGGTACAGACAATACAAACTACATGCAGCGGATGAAATGAATCACACAATTCTTAAGTTAATGCAGATCAGTTCAACCCTCCCTGTCAGATCTTGTTCATTTTTCCCAAATCGCTGCTTATTTGTTACATGATCATCCCATATACTAATCCTACAGTTTCAAAAACATCCAATTCCCTATTTCATGAGGTTGGATTGTTATTTTAAACAAATATAGACAAAATATTCATATCTTTTGTCACAAAATAAAATTCTGTAATTTCTTTCTTATTCATCCTTTTTTGTACAATCTGCAGAAATATATGAAAATTAAATATTTCTATTTCCTGTATAAGTGCTTCTTTTTAAAAATAGACAAGTACGAAGCTCTCTACAATAGTTAAGGATTGTTTCTTTTGGATATTTAGATATGTGAATAAATGTATATTTACACAACACATTTTTTCCTTTCTTAGAAAATGTGCAAATAAAAAAACTAGTGAAGATTTATTGGGAGTTGCATAAAGCATTACAACAGCCTTCCTGAATTTGGTGCTTTCAACAAAGAGGCTGTTCCCAGCCAGCACAACTGTTGACTGTAGTGGCTTAGAAACTTGGGGTGATGTCCACCACATCTATCAAAGGGCACCAGGTTGGCAAAGGATGGCATAAAGCAATGTTTTCAAACTTGGCATCTTTAAGAGGTGTGGACTTCAACTCCCTGAATTCCACAGTCAGCATGGGCCAACACCTCCTAAAATGGCCAAATTTGAAAAACACTGGCACGGAGGAGCACCAATGATTTGATGCCAAATAAAGGTGGGGGATCCGTGGCCTTTCAAATGTTCTTAGACTTCAAATTCCATCAGTTTCACAATATACTGCCAAGGATGATGGGAACTGTAGTCTAATAACACCTGCATATCCATGGCTGTTCTGCTTTTGACATGGAAGCAGACTTTGGCAAGATTTATTCAGGCAGCCAAGGCCGTTGCATTCTAATTCTGGCTACAGATCCCACAGGACCCCTGGACTCTTTTCCTAATACATCTATGGAGAATTATTATGAGCCTTCTCTCCCCAGCGCCCCCCAATCCAGAAGGTAATTCTTGCAAATTGTTAAGTGCCACTGCTACACCATTTCACAAAGTAGGTTTTAATGCTTTTGGAAGCTATGGGTTGATGAGGCAGCACTATGGCAACACAGGAGGCACTTTAAACATTGGAACCAAATAGTGTTGTCTATCTCGGTGGGGAGGGGGAGAGAGGATCTGTAAAATGCAAGACAGATCAGGAAAGGGCTATGTCTTTTCTCCAGAAGCAGGGTCTGGGTTACAGTACATGATCCCTCTCCTGTATTCTCATTTTGGGCAAACTTGTAATACTATGAAACTCATAACACTGCAAAACTCATTGTGTATTCTTAACACAAAGGGTTCCTGTGGTTCAAGTTATTTGGTTGGTTTGACACCTGGTTTGGCAAGGGATGGGAAGGTGAGGGAGAGAAAGGCTTTTAGTCCCATTGCCCAGTATTGATAGACAGCCAAGAAGGTTGCTATTTTGGCATGAGGGTAGTATCACCCTCCTAGATCGGGGGGGGGGCAGGAAAAAGGAGAGATGCTGCTTTAGTGTAAGAGGGACAGAGCTGAGAACAGAGTCCCCAATGCTAATTGCAATTGCTCTTTATGTCTCCCTGCTGGCTGTTGTAGTAGGCACCCAGGGATCTGGGTTTTGAGCAGCTCCCTTTTAAAGCCTTCCTACTTCTGCTAAGTGCCAGACTCTGCTTCCTTGACAAAACCAGAGACAGGGGCCAGATCAACCTGATCAACCCTCCTCCCCACACTTAAGCAAGGAATAAAAGTGCAGTGCTCTGGATCCCAAAGCAGTCGTCCACTGAATGGGAAGGAATCTGTGTTCCATGCTTTTGGCTAAAGATATATATATAGTTGTGTGTGTGTGTGTATGTGTGTATATATGTATGTATGTATGTATGTATGTATATATATATATATATATATATATATACACATACACACACACACACAACTATATATATGTGTGTGTGTATGTGTGTGTATATATATATATATATATATATATATATATACATACATACACACACACACACATATATAATTTATAATGTATATAGAAATTTAAAATATTTCATCTTTTAAAAAACAACTTTTTATAAAATGTAAATCTAAGGCTCTCTTTCCCCTCTCCCCCCCTTCCCTCCCCCCCTGACCCCTATGGCCTTTAGTACTCCAACTAGTTAATCCACTTCTCAGCCGTTCTGGTGCTTGAGAGGAAAAAGGTGGAGATGGATAAACAATCCCTAATACCTCTTCCCCACAGGTAGGGAGCCCCCCCCCCAACTTCACAGATGGCATCCTTTCCCTGCCTCCTACATTGGCAGACCAGGGCAGAGTGGCATGGAGACAGGGCCTCTCTTGCAGCGGGGGGGGGGGGAGAGCTGGTCACATGACGCTCTCGAAGATGACAATTTTCGCACCCCCATCCAGGACAGGGGAGAGGCTGGTCAGAGCATCTGTTTCAGGCACCTTGTACTCTAGATGATGCAATCCCCAGATTGGCTTAGTGAGATGGCGCCAGCGCTGTGAAGAAGCAGAGAAAGAGAGGTGGGGATCAGACTAAACTTCAGAAATACCATTTTTCCTCCAACTCAATTTTACTTTCACCTCCTCCGAGCATACGAGACACACCTCATCCTTGTGATTCATTCGTATCAACCCCACATTCTCTTTCTTTCCCTCTCTTTTTCAAACATACTCAAGGGTTAATATTTTCAGCTATATTGCTGATATCTTTTTATATTTAATGTCTTCCCCGCCATATAGTAGCCCATTATTTTCCCAGTTGCAATATATGGCTGTGAAAGTTGGACCATAAGAAAGGCTGAGCGCCAAAGAATTGAGGCCTTTGAACTATGGTGCTGGAGAAGACTCCTGCGAGTCCCCTGGACTGCAAGGCGATCAAACCGGTCAGTCCTAGAGGAGATCAACCCCGACTGCTCTTTAGAAGGCCAGATCCTGAAGTTGAAACTCAAGTACTTTGGCCACCTAATGAGAAGGAAGGACTCACTGGAGAAGGGTCTAATACTGGAAAAGATTGAGGGCAATAGAAGAAGGGGACGACAGAGAATGAGGTGTCTGGATGGAGTCACTGAAGCAGTAGGCATGAGCTTAAATGGACTCCAGAAGATGGTAGAGGACAGGAAGGCCTGGAGGAACGTTGTCCATGGGGTCGCGATGGGTCGGACACGACTTCGCAACTAACAACAACAACAAATTATTTTTAAAATGCACTATTGATAAATTTCTTTCAAGGCAATCCTACTCATCTTCTCAGAATCTGTGATGGCCCCAAATCCCTGCCAAGATCACCTGGGCTGGAGGGAAAGGAAAGCATCCAGCCTCTTGTAAGGGGTCAAAGAAGGTTCTCCCATTTCTACCCATAAAGAGAAGTGAGAGGAAAAGCATTCTTGTCAACTGAAGAGATTTTCTACCCTGTCAAGAATGGGATGGATGACAGTATTGGACTCCTCCTCCAGATCACTCTCTCCCTTTTCCTTAGTGCTGCTGAGACAGGCATTTTGTGGGGGAAAGGGAAAGGGGAGCCAATATTTCAGCAGGGCAGAAATGTCTCCCCCACACAACCCTTCTGTCCATAAAACAAGTACTTAACTTACAACCATTCATTTAGTGACCATTCAGAGTTAAAACAACGCTGAAAAAAAGTGGCTTATGATAGGCTTTCACTTATGACCGTTACAGCATCCCCATGGTCACATGATCAAAATTCATGCGCTTGGCAACTGGCATGTATTTATCACAGTTGCCGTGTCCTGGGGTCATGTGATCACCAGTTGTAACCTTCTCAGTCAGCTTCCAACAAGCCAAGTCAATGGGGGAAGCCGGATTTGCTTAAGGACTGCATGATTCACTTAACAACTTCAGTGATTCACTTAACAACTGTGGCAAAATTGGTCATAAAATGAGGCACAACTCAACTGCCTCGCTTAGTAACATAAATTTGGGGACCAACTGTGGTTGTAAGTTGAGAACTAGCTGTAAAAGATGGCCTGGAGGGCCCTCACACCTAGAAACAGACCCCCGGCAGCCCAACTAACACAACAACAGTCAAAGAGGGTCTGGGCACCAGGGGATTAGGCCAAGGGAGAGAAGAGGTAGCTGCTACCTAGCTTCCTTGTGGTCAGCTTGGGCAAATGCTAGTGCAGGCACTGCAATGCCTGCCACATTTTCAGCTCTGGCAGGTGGGAATGCCAAGGCTGAGGGTCCTAGGTGCGGTGTCAGCACAAATGCCTACAATCCTGACGTTCCTAATGCTCCCATCCATATGTCTGGTGCAGATGACGGCCAGGGGGCAGCAGTAGCAAACTCTGCTTCCTGCTGTTGTTTCCTGGAAGACCCTTTGAGGTAGAAAGAATCTCTCCAGCCATGCATAGAGGTTCAGCCCCAGGACCTACATCCCACCCTTCTGTTCTTGTGATGTGGGAGAGAGCCTCACCTCAGCCAGCGTTCCCTTGGCACGGATGAATTTGTAGAGGGCAATAAGAGGGACACATAGCATGGAAGATAGTGCAAAGCCCCAGCCAATGGCTTCTCCCCACCAGGGGTAGACGTAGCTGTTGTTGTAGATCAATGGCTTGTAGTAGGCAACGTTGAAGAAAAAGATACCCTGGAAAAGAGTTAACAATGGATTAAAATATGCCAGTTCTTCGTCTTCCCCGTTTGTAGCCCTACAGCAGTTGATACCCTTCTAGTGCATCCCAGATATGACAAAGTGACTTATACTTGCTTAACCTCTTCTTTTTTTTTTGCTTCCTTTGAAGAGAAAGAACCTCTCTCTTTGGTCCTTTTTGGACATCTTAAGCCAGGGATGTCAAATTCGCCACGTCACATGACGTGTCGCGACATATTGTGACTTTTTCCCCCTTGCTGAAGCTGGGGTGGGTGCAGCTTCCAGGTGACGCATCTGGCCCATGGGCCGGCAGTTTGACACCCCTGTCTTAAGCATTCTCAGAGAAACAATATTTTTACAGCTGTCTTCCCCCAACTTTGTGCCCTCTTAAATGTGCTGAATTCCAATCCCCAGAAGTCCTAGTAAGCCTGTCAAAATAATCCACACTGTTCGATTTCTTTATTTTGTAGGCCATGCTGCCTGCCATCATCACAGCTATTTCTACCTCAGCAGCTGCTTCTGACAGCAGCAGCATTTTTTGGAAATGAGGGAGGAACAGGATGCTGGCAATGCTCTCTGGAGAGGCTAGGAGCGTATGCGTGCTGGCATTTTGAATGAGAATGCATCTGGATATGTAGGCCCGCTTTGGCATTCTGGGGAAAGCAATGGGCCTTATACCTAATTTGCAGGGCAGCTTGCAGGCTGAGTAGGCACTGGGCTAAGATACCAAAATTTAGGAGGTATCAATGCTGCCATTCCTTCTGAATGGTTCTAAAAAAGCACATCTTCACATTGGTGGTTAGTCAAAGGGGCCTAGGGCAGTGGTTCTCAACCTGTGGGTCGGGACCCCATTTGGGGTCGCCAAACAATGCAGTCCGCCATTTTTCCCCCCTTTTCGTTAGCTGTGCTACTCCCTTTTATTCTATTGGCTTTTGAAAGCCAATAGAATAGACTCTCTTGAATAGAGTCTAATTCTATTGGCTTTCAAAAGCCAATAGGAATTGTCCAGGCTGTCTCTGCCCTGCTGAGCCCGCCAAAAGTCCCATTCTGCAAACGGTGCTGCAAGTTGTCTCTGCAGCGAAGGCGAGCTGTCTGGAAGTTTCCACCCCTCCCTGCTGAGCAACTACTAAAAATGTAAGTAAAAGAGGGCCAGGGGTGGGAGGTGGGAGGCCGGCGGGCGCAGGGAGGGTTGCTGGTGCGCGTGGGGCCCGGTGGGTGCCTTACCTCCCTTGGGCTGGGCCAGCTGGTGGCCCAGCCAGTGGTCGGCCTGTGCCGTCTCTGCCGCTTGCCAGCTACGCCTCAGCCGGCGCAGGGGGCAGCACCACGCATGCGCGGCGCTCCAGGGCAGGGAAAGTCCTCGACTTACGACCGGTTGGGGGTCACGGCATTAAAAAGGTTGAGAACCACTGGCCTAGGGGCACCATATACCTTTGAGCTGGCCCAGCTGTTTTGATTATTATTTTTAGCAAGCCAAAGGAAGGGAAAGAGCCCCAAGAGCTTTTTTAGCTTTAAAGGGGCATGGATATGGTCATTAAAGAAAAGGAATTAAGAGTGATCTTGGGAAAGATAGGAGGAAGCCATTAAGGGGAAAGGAAGGAATGAGTAATTAAAGGGGGTGAGTGGGGGTTTGGAGAAGAGATTACACAATCCTGGGACAGATGACTGGGCCCAACCGTGAGGGGCTTTAGAAAGACAGTAAAATAGTGTAAAAGAAATGGCTCTTTCCCCAGCATCTGGGGTCAGACTAGGTAGATTCCCACTTGTTGAAAAGTGGTATATTTTAATCTTGATTTCTTTATTTATCTATCAAATTTATGTAGCTGGCCATCTTCCCAAAAGTAACTTTGGGCAGTGCACAACTATAGTCCTGTTCACCATTTAACGGTTTTAGTTTATTTCAGGGGTATGTATTATTTTCCTTCTGTATTTTTCATGATTTTAGATGCTGCCCAGTGTCTTGATTTGCATGTCCTAAATAAACAAATAACTGGAAGGAAGGGGAAAAAAATTACAAGTAACTTTGCCTTGATTTTGTTTAGTATACAATAGGACAGAGAGAATGTAGGACAGACTTGTAAGATTCTGTTCTTCTACCTCACTACAATAACAATATTAAATCCCTGCCATGCTAATTTCTCAACCTGATCTGCCTCGGAAGGCTCACTGGCAGCCCCTGATCCTAAGCTGGAAAAACTTTGGCTATGATTCTGGTTCTTTTTGCTGATCCGTCCCAGTTATCTTGCACCACTGTCCAGCTGACCCAGAGATAGAGCAGATTTTTCCCTACTGAATTTCTGCCTGTTACATACTTGGATGGAGTTAGAAACATGAACAGCTTTTCTTTTTCTTTTTTTCTGGGCTTGTGGGGAAAACTTGTGGATTTGAGAGCCAATCTGGTCCAGTGATTACGGCACCAGGCTAGAAACCAGGAGACTGTGTGTTCTCACACACGCCTTAGGCATGAAAGCCAGATGGGTGATTTGGGACCAGTCACTTTCTCAGTCCAAGTTGTCAGGCTTCGGCAGCAAGCTGGTCGGTTAATTCCAGTTGCAATTCAATGGATCAACACTTAGCTGATCCAAAGAAGTGGGCCCTGCACTGGTGGGAAAACTCCAAGAACTAAACAGTAATGTACCAAATGTCTAGCTTTTTCTCCCACTAAGAATTCTCAAGAACTCCACCCCAAAATTACCAGGCAGATGAGCGGGGTCACGACCATCCAACACCATTTCATCCAAGGAAAGGGCCGGTACCCAATCATGCAGGCAATGTCATCCATGAAACGGTCAGCCCCTGGAAGGAGATGGGAAGCAGTGGAAGAGTGAGAGGCTTCTAAGAATGTAAGAGGAGCTTTGCTGGATCAGACCAAAGAGGGATATCAGAAAGGCTGGGCCTGCTTTGAACATTAGTGCCTTGTATTTTGCATGATCATAGGACTTCTGGGGTGTTTAATGAATACAGTCTCCATGCCTGCCCTACATGCAAAGCCACTCTTATGAATAATTTCTGAGGTCTGAAGAAGTATAATATCCATTCAGCTTCTTATTTCTGACAGTGCCTGACTGGGACTAAGCGAGATACTAGAATCCCTGTGAGACAAGGCCAAAAGGGACCTTAGTGTCTTTAGCTGAAGCTTTCCGCATACCTCTGCCTCACCTCAGCAGCCCAGCCGGTCTGCTCTTCCTCTCCTAATGACTGCAGATTAAATGGGGATCTTTCAAGGACACAACTATGTCTCAGCAGACCAGAAAAGAAGGGGAAAAACAGAGGTGCCCTTGACTGAGGATGGTGTGTAACAGAATGTCCAAAGTCCAGCCTTTGACCACATCAGTTACGTACACAAGCTCACACTTTTTTTTTTTACTCCTGACAAATTAAACTGAAATAACACCTTTTGTTGGCTTTGAGCACTGCAGTCAGAGAGGGAACATGGCTAGGGGGCTTTTAAATGCTGCTGTGTTCTCACTTATTAGGGTAAAAGAATGGCGTAATGGGAGGATCCTCTGCCCCTTCCAAGTTCCAATATCTGCTATGAGTGGAATCTAAACTGTATTACTATTATCAGGTCCAAGCTGGAAAGTGATAATTAAAAATGAGGTGTGTGTGTCATGCTGGGTAGGGTTTGCCTCCCCGCTGGAGCATGTACTGACAGGGTGAAGGGAAAAAAAAAACACCCTTTAATTATTCTTTGGCCATGCGAGGGAGAATGAGTGGGATAGGAATCTCAGATGCTAAGCAAGGCCACACTTGATTGCTAATAACCGAGTAGAAAAATCTCAGAAAAAGGCAACAGCATATTAGTTTTCTAATGTTGCAAGAATATTCCAGGGATTTATTCCCAAAAGTCATGTTTGACTTAAGGGGGTCTTTTGCTTAAAGCTAAAGGGTCTGAGCAACTGATCACAAGGCAGATTTGTTCCTAGACTTTCCTATCTCAGACTGCAAACGTGCATGTATGAATGGTGGTAAATGCAATTCTCTGTTTTTTCTTAAATTTCTCTAGGGTAGAATAATCTGGCGGACTACTTTTTCACATGAATTTCTCTACAATAAAGGAGAATGTTTGTAGCTGAGGGTTGAAAGGAGGGGTCCTTGGTGCTCTCTGGGCTTGTCAAGAAAACATCCAAGCTCAGAAAGCACCAAGAATTTTGTTCTCCATATGGGAATATGGAGAAATTTCCCACTTTTCCCATGTATCGCTAGGAATTCAAAATGGCAAATCCAGGACTGTTTTGTCACATCACATGCCCTTAAAGTAATCATCTATGCTTAGTGACCTTGTCCTTCAGGCCCGCTAATGAGATGCATTACTCAGCTATACAATTTGTACGGTAGTTCCAGATTGTTGTGAGGTTTAAAAACCTTTGGCGTCTCTTCAGCAGGCAGTGTAGAAAAACTACTTGTAATAGAAATGGGCATTTGGGTTGACACAGTTATTTCATATGGACGCCTGAAGCCAAATAAGTCAGAGCAGCTTTCAAGGCCATGAGATGAAGTATCTCAAGACAGATGGAACTTGGACTAAGGTGTTTCCAAATTGGCTCCAGTACTCATAAACCAGATGGGTCTCATCCCATAGCCCAGCACTCACAATCATCAAGGACAAGAGAAATTGTAACCAACGTTTAAAAAGACATTATAGAATATTAACTCACAACACACACACACACACATACCTGCTGTGCAGGGCCAAGCTAGAAACCTTTCACTCCCTGTAAAGAAGAGCTATGATTGCCTTGTCCTTTGCCCTTTCCACATAAATCAAGGCAGGTACGAGAGAAGCTCTTATCATTTACCTCTTTGTTACTTACATTCCACTCATACCTACATTAAGGAAAGTGTAAAGCTGCCAAAAAAAGCAGTTCAGGCTGTTAGCAAGGTGAGTGCCCTGGAGACTTGCTAGGGCCAGGCAAGGAGCCTGGATCCTTTTCATCTCTGCCCTACTATTTTGTGATGTATAGATAGAGTGATTGGGAGGTAAGATGATACCAGCAGCCCAATCAATCTTGCAAGGTAAAACACCACACTGAATTGGTGTGGAGTAATAATTTTTTTGGTCCCTGGAATGCCAATTTTCAATGTAAGGAATCAGTTCTCAGTGAGTGGAAGTCCTCTGTCTTTGATCATCTTCTAACTTGCAAAGGACAATGAAATCTGATGTGTGATTTAGATCTCCAAATATGTGATTTAGATCTCCAAATCATACTTTTGCCTGTCAGCCAGGTCCTAAACTCACTCCATCCACTCTTTCCATGGAGAGGATAGGGAGGAGAGCTCAGTCCATATAGCCCTTTTTCCTTTAACCATGATCTCATCCTACTTTAAATGTGAAAAAGGCAAGCCAGTGTGATGTGGGAAAGCCATAAGGTTCCAGACAAGATGGCTGCTTTTACGTCTCCTCTTTCATGCTACTGATTAATCACTAAGCGACTTCTGAGCGGGAGCCATCTTCTCTAAATGGCACCCACTAGAAGCATTAGAGATAGGTTGTGCTTCTTGGCTACGAGCCCAATACACCTAAATTAGAACAGAGTCTTAAAACTTTTAGGAAGGCTTAACCCAAACACCTTTCTTGCTAGAACATAAACATGGGACTGCCTATTTTACAGTGTTGCCTGTCTGCAAGCATATGTACATATGCAAGTCAGTTACTAAATGTTATACAGTAAATGATTCACCCTCAGAAGCAGGTTAAATGTCAATTTACTCCATTTGTGCTTTTGAGAATTAGAAACGTGGTTTTTTTTGTCTTGCTTGCTCTACTGATTTGTGCCAAATGGCTAACATGCTGGTTGATCTGTATGTAGTGTCAACATTTGGGGCAAAACATCTTGTTTTGCCAGCTTTGTTTCAGGTGATTCCTTAATCTGCATGCAACTCTCTCTTACCATAAACCCAGGCGACGACCACGCACTCCCAGAAGGCCTGCCACAGTAGTGTTGTGCCACTCGCTGAATAGTAATCGAAGAGCTGGAAGACATACATGCCCCCCTAGGAGAGGGGTTGGCTGTGAGACAGCAGGATGCAACAGGGCATTTTCAAAATGGCCTCCCTTGCCCGGCTCTAGGTTCCTCCTCTTTCCTACTCAGGACACCTCCATAAAATTAGTTCTCCTAACCCAGGTTGGCCATATCACAAAACAATTGCTAAGCACAGCACCTTTTTTTTCACAAGAGACAGTAGGAGCAACATTCCTTCCTTAAACCTGCTTTATCGAACCCACTTCTGCTGCTTGAGAAAGAGAGAAAGAAAGAGAAGGAAGAGAAAATGGGAGGATCCTTGCCACAAAGGGTAGAGTTGACAAAGCCACTTCCCACACTCTTCGCTGGAATGAAAGAACAGGAATATGTGGCAACTCCTAAACCGTGATCTTTTGCCTCATTGAGCAGGTTATTACGGAAGGCAGTGGCTAAAAAATCTGGGAGCTTTACTTCCTGAGTAGGAAGCAGCACCTGGCTGGATGGGAAACTACGGTATGCAGTGCAAGGCTCAGTGAAGGCCTAGATGGGAGACCATTAGAGAACCCCATAGTTGTAAAAACAAAATCCAGAAGAACAGAAACCACTTTGATAACTGAGTTTAAACATGCTTGGGACAAACACATGTCCATCATCTGACAAAAAATTAAAACAACAACAACAATAATAAAAATTAAAAGGAAAACAAAAACCAAAAATATTCAAAAGGCAGACTCAATGGACTACGAGGTCTTTTTCTGCCTTTCTGCCTTTTCTATAATGTGGTTTTTCTATAATGAGTCAAGCTCAGCGTAAAGAAGAGTTGACTTTCATTCTGCTATCTTCCCAGGAGGCAGGGAAAAGATTGGAAGAAAAAGGACCAGCAGTTCTGAAGGTTTCAGGAAGGTTGGGACAACAGGGAAGGGAAAGCTAAGCAAAGTTAGTGAGCTTAGCCCTGAAGAATTCCTCAAACTTTTTGGCAGCATTACCATAAAATGGAAGAGTAAGAACTTTTCATCACACATAAATCAACATATACCTTCTCTATAAGCCAACCCATACCACAACAATTCCTAACAAATAGCTGGATGAGTAACCCAAAAATGTCTAACGGTTCCTGAGAATGCCAGGAGTAGAAAGAAACTGGACGGCAAAAAGCTTTCTCATTCTGCTGGCCAAAGCGGAGAGGTCCTGTAGAGAAAGTTAGGCTACCTCAGGAGTATTTCAATTCTTCTAATCCAAATCTTTCTTACTGCCTGGACACACATTCAAAACAGCCGAAAGAGGCTTGTCCCAATACAGATGGAGCTCAAAAAAGAATGGCAAAAAAAGAAAAAAAGGAGAAATCCCCTACCACAAACATTCACATCCTTCTTTGCCAAAGGGCATCTGAAAGTCTTAAAGGATGGCCCTTCCCCATCCCTTAAGGCAGGGATTCTCAATCTTGGCAACTTTAAGACTTGTGGACTTCAACTCCCAGAAGTTTTGCTGGCTGAGGAATTCTGGGAGTTGAAGTCCACAAGTCTTAAAGTTGCCAAGATTGAGAACCCCTGCCTTAAGGGGAAAGAGAGGTGGGAGTTTCTCTGTATGGGTAGTGGCAAGTAGAGCCGAGTAACTGAGGATTAGCCATAGGAGGAACTATCACCTGGAAGTTCTAGTACGTTAAATACCCAAATAAGACAAAGTAGGCACACGGTCACTCTTATTAAAAACAGTTCTTTCTGTTTGGGATTCCACATATCAGAAACATTGCAAGAGATGAGCTGCCCCTCCCCAGATTACAACTGGAGAAAACATTTCACAGCATGTTCTTGGTCAGCTCTCAGAAGGGAGGGCAGGTATTCTCCAGCCAGGGAAGAGCAGGAGCTTGGTTCAGATTGTCTCTCTGTGTCCCCCTCTCTGCTTGCTCAACCAATCAGGGGTTGGTTCAGGCACTTTCTAGGCCATGGCAAGGCTTCAGGGATTCCCTTACACCTGTCAGCTGCTGCAAAGCAGGCTGCTGCATCTGGGAATCCCAACAAGTCTTTTCCTCTTTCTTCGGGATGATGTCACAGCTCAAATACTGGCAGAAGGAGAGAGGAGTTTCAGGAAGGGCAGAGAGGTCTCCCTGCCCTAGAAACACAACGGTTGTGGCATTCGCCCTGATTAATGAACTTTTCAAGGCACATTTCAGCCTCAGTCATGTGCTGTGATTACAGTTACAGTCCTCTGATAAATGAATTTCTGGCTGGAAATCACCCAGTAAAGGCACTTATCTAAACAGAAGAGGCCCTGCCCCAATTGTCTTCTTTCACACAAGGGACCCAATTGCATCTGCCTCAAACTGTAAGTTCCCCAGCAGTCTCAAATCACTGCTTCTTGCTGGTTGGTTTAATGAATACCAGTTCTGCAATTAAAAGCTCATATAGCATATTCTTTGAATACTAACTGTTCCCCTCCCCTACATCAAACCGTCCCCTCCCCATCAAGACAAGAGGGGAAGTACAATTATGACATCACAGCCTCAGGCCAATCAATGCTGTGTAGAACCTGCTCCTATATCTACTTCACCGAAGAGTTTCTCTGAGCTTGGCGCTGAAAGGAGACAGTCGGTCCAGCAGTCACTACTCTGTGGATGCTTTAGCAGAGGACATCTGATTAATGTAAACTCAATGGTCAGGACATAAAGGGAGCACATTACAAAGAAGTCCTTAGTAAAAAAGATGAGGAACAGCTAAATGGCATAAAACTCCAGAATCTTGGATGGGAATCTATAAAAAAGAAATTGTAGGATTTTATTTGGAACAGAAATGGGAAATCGAAGGCCTGCAAATACTGCTGCCAGCAGCCTGTTCTGCTAATGAAGTTGAAACCCCATTCCTGATCTAGGGTGCTTCAGTAGGTATTGTGCCAAATAGAACCAGAAATATTGGTCTACACCACGGGAAGGCAACCTTGGCTCTTTTATGACTTGTGGACTTCAACTCCCAGAATTTCTGAGCCAGCTATGCTGGCTCAGGAATTCTGGGAGTTGAAGTCCACGAGTCATAAAAGAGCCGAGGTTGCCTACCCCTGGTCTACACTATATAAGTGGGAGCTCCCTGAATACAAAAACACAACATCAAAAAGAGTTTAATCTTAATCCAGAGAGAAGGGTATAACTATCTCAACTGCAACTTGAAGCAATACAAGTCATCCTCATTTAGTGACCAGTTATTTAGGAACTGGTAACCTGGTTGTTAAGCAAAGCAGTCACTCAGTGAAACCGCAACTGTGCTTATGATCTTACTTCAGTTTTCCTTTGCTTTGAGACCTGTGAAAGTCATAAATGAGAGGATTGATTGTAAAGTTATTTTTTTCATCACTATCATAACTGCAAATGGTTGCTAAACGAGACAGTCACAATGAGAACTACTTGTAAGTAACCAAGTCTTTTCAAATAAGTTTCCATTAGCAATTACAGCTCTTACGAATGCTTTGTTTTCCTCTATCTGTATTGTTCAGCTTTTGCACTGTGTGCATACTGTATATAAATAGTTTCACATTATGTAACTATTATCGGGTGTACTTGCCAATTTCATGCAGTGTAAGTAACAGTGAGTAATTTACAATTATCCCTGTTACCAGGATTAAAGGAAAGGTCTTTAGGATCACAGCATTCATTTCATAGAAAACCTTTCTCTCTTCTCCCAAAAGTTAACAATGAAATCCTATGTGTTTGAGTAAGCACATAGTCTGAAAAGTCTGAGAGTTCTCATGCTAACAGATAAATGTGCATGGCATTGCAGCCTACACTTTGGGAAACCTTATACACTTTACAGTTTTGCAAGAAACGGCCAGCAAAATATACTCTGGCTAGCTTTGTTGGACAATCCATGCTAAATCTAAGCCGTTACATTTTATAAGGAGACTTGCAACTGATTTACTAGCATGTGAAAACACGAATGTCTAGACTGGAACCGACTAATCAAAGGGACGAAAGCTTAATATGTGTTGCCTGCATATAGTGGAATATGAAGCGTGTTAATTCGTGCTTTTGTTTTAAGCCTAGGTTTAAGAGCAGATTCTCTCTGCCCACAATGAAAAGATTGACGTTATTTCTCAGTTGGCTTTTTATCGTAGTTCTAGAAATAAGGATGGAGGATTAGAGATATCTGCTGTTTTTTAAGCAATCTGAACAATGCTGGGGCAGTGCATTTGGTGTGCCATGAAGGACAGCATTGTGATCCACCGTGGAAATCCCTCTTACCAAACCCACAAGCACAACTTTCCCATTCATTACAATATTTATGTACGGATTGTCAACATGGGATTAATCCTGTCTCAGAAGGAGATCTGAATCTACTGCCTTGGCTGGTCACCTCCAGAATGTCCCAAACCTTTTTTTTTGCTTGTTCAGACCTGTACAGCTCTCCTTTTCACCCGCCTTCCTCTCATTCTCTCCCCTTCCGTTCCTCTAAGGGTGCTTCAGTGGTGGTCATACCTCAGTCACCATGGACAGCTCAATGAAGAAGCAGATGACACAGCAGATGGCCACGGTGATCTCTCTCTGGAATCGGAAGCCGTGGGCGGATGGGAAGAAGTCCAGGATCCCAGTTATAAAGCCTTCAACGCCCACAAACTGGTGTGGAAGAGGAAGAGAAGCAAAGTATTGGAGACTGGAGAACTCCATGCGAAGATGTTGAAGGCAGGATAATGAATCTCCTGCCATTCTCAGTATTGAATTGACTACTCATTCACTTCCAGCTTTCTGCCCCTCCCCCTTAAACTCTCACCTGGCTGTCTAAGCCCAGAAGCAGCAGCATGAAGAAAAAGAGGGCAGCCCAGAGAGGAGCAACTGGCATCAGAGTGACAGCTCTTGGATATGCAATAAAAGCCAGCCCAGGTCCTGCAGAGGAGAAAAAAAGAGGAACAAAATGAGGTTATCTTAACACAGAGACACTCTTGCTTCAGGGAAGAAGGAACAGCTTCTCTGGATTTCCAGTTCGGTAAAAAGTAATTAATCAAATGGTCACTTATTACTTATTTCTAGCCAGCTTTTCCCCTATCCCGAAAGGCATGGTGCTGTCTCAAATAAAATGTCCCAAAATGCTTAGCAACATATACTTCCTTTATTTTGTAAACTCGTGCTTTCAAAGGCAGTGGATTTTTATTTTATTTTTGCATTGGGATAGAGCACTGAGACAGTCTCAAGATTTCATTTAGTATCTCAAGAGCTGTTTCGGATGGATTGGAATACAATTTTGCTTTGAATGAAAGTCAAGACTCTTCTTCCTTCTTGCAAAACCACACTGCTAATAGGAAAACCTCACAATGTACACACATACAACCCTATGTATACCCTGTTCAGTGTTACAAATCTGATTCTCAATTGTGTACGTAAAGTGACATGTCGTGTCTTTGCAGTAGTCTGGAAATACTGGATGCACAGGGATAGTTCTAATTATGCTGATCATCTTGATAGGGTGGGAAGGAATGATAAAAAAAATTCAGATATAGCAGCTGCGGAAGAAGGTGTGGTTGCAGGTGTAATTTTAAGAACCAAGGCAACTAATCTATGTTCTGCACACGACCATCAATGCGTTTATTTCCTCCTAAAATTGTACTTCTCCCAGAACTGGAGAACAGCCAAGCATCTTATCCAACCTGCTTTGCCATCCCTGAATTCAGGAGCACTCACCAGATTCTGCCACTTTGGAGATATCAACTCCCTGTTCTGCAGCCATGAAGCCTAGGATGGAGAAGACTACAAAACCAGAGAAGAAGCTGGTCCCACTATTGATCAGTGCCAGAATGATGGCATCTCTGCAGGGGAGAAAAGGCAAAGGACGGCAACTGTGAAAGAGTGATCTGACCAAAGGGGGTTTGTTGCGGTTATCCCTCAGCATAAACCATACCAAGCGCAGCTTCCTAGCTGATGAGAAATTGATACAATGGGCAAGTGTTGGCCAACGTGCTCTCTATGTTTCATTTGATATTCCGGGTCACAGAGGCAAGTGCAGAGCTCAATCTTACAGAATCTTGCACAGTGAAATCAGACATAAACATGTTTTATCCTGCATAGGATTGGGCTCTAACGAAACAGCGGCAAGAAATGGTGGCCTGTTTGCTATGCACATCCACCCATTGTTAGCAAAGAGTTTGTGCTGAGCTGTGGAAGGAAGCAAGAGCACCAGAGATGTTTTCACTATGGAGGCGAAAGCAGGGCAAAGTGGGAGGAAGATTAGTTGCTTTTTTTGCAGGGTAAGCGGGCTTACAAGACAGGCTGTGTCTTGGAGCCCAGCAGAAGCAACAGGCCCAAGGACATTTCACATTCTATGCATGCATCTTAGAGACAGATTCAAGGAGATGTTATGGACTAGCAGCAGGACAAGTTGGGCAGGGAGGCCACAGCATTCTGAACAAGCAATAGGAACTGAGCCCAGGAAGGGGAGAAGGGAAAGCAACTTCCAAGCAAAGCAGCTCCCCAACATTATTAGGGCTTACTATTTCTCTTTGCTGCTATCTCCTTATATATTTGATGAACTTTATATGTACAGTAAACAGGTGAAGCAATTCTTAAATCAAGATGTATCATGAGATATTGTTCTTCTTTAAACAGATCTCTTCCATCACACTTTTCCCTTAACAATGCAAGTTTTAAATCCCAGTGCATTCAGTGTGATTTATCCCCAGACAAATATGTATAGGGCAATAGCTTAGATTTTCCAAGATGTACAGCATGCGGCAGCCTTTGAAAAGTAGCTGCTAAAGAAATGTCCTACTATACTGCACTGTTTGACTTAGTCAGCAGTATGATATAATCGGTGAGTGCCCTTAAGCAGTTCCAGGCAGAATCAGGTCCATACTGAGTGTCTTTCTGCTGTAGCTTATTAAGAGATTTCAAGATTTCCCTGGAATCCCAGATTACCAGCTATTCTTTTCCAACACTGCTAAAAAGACACAGCCTTTTGCATGAAAAGTTTTGTATGAAAAGTTTCCATGAGAAAAAAAAAAAATACATCAGTGTCCTGAAAACATCAGATACTCTGGGCCTTCAGCTTCCAATAAGTAATAAATTATATGTCTTATACTGAAAAGAATTTTTTTTAAAATGTTTTTCTCTTCTACAGTTACAAGTTCCAATTTGTTGCGCATGATCTCAGTGTCACCGGTATGTAGTGCTATGTAGGATTGGACTTTACAGCTGGTTAGAAGAGCAACAATGGCATCGTGAGAGATTGTGGTTCCCCAGCTACTGAGAAAGGTATCCTGCAGGGTTTCTGCTTTCCCTAGATGCCTACTTTTTAGGCCACAGTTCACGAACACAACTCATCTCCTAGGTATAAAATTTCTTAGGATGTCCTTGACGTCCCCCAGAAATGGGGATAACTGTTGAACCAGTAAAGTTATTAGTTAGTAGAAATTAAGATCCCCAGAGTGATGAGATGACTGAAAAAGGCACTCTACAATATTTCACCTCTGCTTTCCCGAAATTGGAGCCCCTCACCCAGATATGTTGGACTATAAACCCCATTGACACAGGACAGCATGGTCTATTGTTGGCGATACATGTGGCCATTCAGTGGGTTCTGTGTGTATGTGGAGTAGGGAGAGATTCTTTATCTTTTAAAATAGACCTGAGTGTAACAAGGGCAGAGTGAAAGGGAAAAAAAAAAACATTGCTTTTCCCAGCCCTGCCCTGCCCTTCCTGATTATCATTCATCTGCAGACTGGAAAAATCACCAGGCAGACAGCTTGGTCCTGGCAACCCAGCAGAACAAAATAAGACAGAGAACCTGGCTCTTTCCTAGCCAACAACTTTTGGAGATGCAGCAATCCGCTGGCATCCTTTCTACTGTTTGGCAGAGCCCCACAGCTGCCACTGTGTGAATGCCCAGCTTTGCGGCCATCATCAGGCAAATCTCCTATCGGACTGGGAGTTGAAGTCCACAGGTCTTACAGTTGCCAAGATTGGGGACCCCTGCTTTAACAAATAAAAACCCAGTTCACTGAAGCTGAACCCTTTGCAGAACTGCACAGAGCTTTGCCTGTTGAGTGTCTTCCTGCCATGCAGGTACTTAAAAAAAGAGAGAATCCCTGCCAGGGGGAGAATGAGGGAGATGGTGGCAATTCTACAAGGCATAGCCTCTTCTTCCTATGCTGTGCCTGCTTGCCATGCCCCCTGATGGTGATGTAGGAAATGGGGTCTCACTTATAACAATTGTTGTTGAATCGGTTATAGCTGCCCAGGGCAGTGAGTGCCCCCAGTCCTATGGCATAGGAGAAAAAGATTTGGGTCCCAGCATCAATCCACACCTGAGAGGGAAGAAGAAAAAAAAAGAGAGAGAAAGATTGAAATACGATGGGCCAGAACTCAAGAGTCTTTCCTCTGTCCCTTCACATACAACTGCCAACTTTTCAACCGCCCCTTGCACCCTGGGCAGCCACTCACTGCTGCCATTAACAAGGGGTGTAGTTGATATCTATGTGGTGAAGAGCTTTAGCTACTGCTGCTAGCAAGTCCTTTAACATAGGGGTCCCCAACCTTGGCAACTTTAAGACCTGTGGACTTCAACTCCCAGAATTCCCCAGCCAGCATGGCTGGCTGAGGAATTCTGGGAGTTGAAGTCCACAGGTCTTACAGTTGCCAAGATTGGGGACCCCTGCTTTAACAAATAAAAACCCAGTTCACTGAAGCTGAACCCTTTGCAGAACTGCACTGAGATTTTGCAGCTGAAATCTTGACGATTTATATTTCCTCCCTATTCACTTTTTCGCTTGTTTTCTATTTCACAGATGTAGTGCTTCTCCTTTGTGCGTTTGTGTGTTGTTAATTCCTAATGATACCGTAGTGCAAAAGCTGGCTAACCGGTTGGCAGGTGTGTATTAAACCTTTCCCTCCCATATGCCTCTCACTTACTTGAGGCGAAGCCAGTTTGGACCAGTCGGGTTTGAGATAGTAAATTATCCCATCCTGAGCTCCAGGCAGCATCACCCCTCGAATAAACAGTATAATGAGCACCACGTAAGGGAATGTAGCAGTGAAGTAGACAATCTATGTTTGGGGGGAAAAAAAGAGAGCAAGAATTAAGCTTTTACGGGAAATGGTTTATTTTGTTGCTTTCTATTCAGTTTAGAAGGCCAAAGTAGGAGCAATCTGTCATCTCACTAACTCCCCCCCAAAATCAATTTTTAAAGAATTTGCATAAAGTGTTACACTGAAATAACAGCCATTACGAATTGAGTTATCAAACTTAAAACATTAATTTAAAACCAGTAGCAGTCAAAATTGTTTTTGCAGCCTAACCCAGCCATTAAGCACACGCAGGCGGCAATATAGACATTTTCAACTTTCTTAAAAACAAGCCGTGAGGAAGACTCATCAATTTCCCCTTGTGGGCTTTTAGTAGCCTCTTTTGTTGAAAACTGTCCATGTGCCTGCCCCTTTGCTCTGTGCGTGCTTGTCATGTCACTATTAAACAAAACTTCCTCTTGCTTATGCCAAGAATTGCTTCACGTGCATGCCTGTTGTCACTGTAAAAGATACGAGGCCAGGAAAAAAAAAATCGAGAGTATCATTTTTTGAAGAAACCAAGTGACAAATAGCACATTCTCTGCAAAGCCAGATCTTCCTTTCACTTTGGACAGAACTTTTTTTTTTAAACTTTGCAGCCAAAAGAGGGGGTTAATGGGTCAGGGGAGTGGCTTTCCATTCCTTTAGTGTGGAAAGCCTTGGTGCTCCTCTAAAGTTTATTGCAGAATTCCCATTGAAGAGACATCTGACCTGCTCTTTGGACAATTGCTGTGGATTTTCCCACACTAGAGTGCACCTCAAGGGAGCATTCAATGTGCTCTAAGGTGTGCGCTTCTCCTTTTAGCTAAGCAAACTTCCTGGCCGATCCCTTCTGGGAACCGTGCCCTGTGCTTATAATATTCCCCCAATTCCTTTGAATACAGGTTTACGTAAAATATGTTCTAAGACTGTGGTGGCGAACCTATGGCACGCGTGCCACAGGCACCACACGGAACCGTCTCTGGTGGCACGTGAGCCATTGCTGGGCCAAGCTGCTCCCTCCTCCTCTCCGTGCATGCGCAGTCTGGGAATAGGCGAGACGCTATAAAAGGAGCAACTTTCTGCAGAAGCAGCATTTGCTGCAGGCAGCTTGAGAGCGAGCACAAGTCGGAGCGGACAGCAAGCGAGTGAGCAAGCATGAGCCGACAGCTTGGTGGCCACATCCACTTGGTGGTCACACCCACCCACCACCCAGCGATGCATAAGTGGGTTTTGGGTTGCAGTTTGGGTATTCGGTCTCTAAAAGGTTCGCCACCGCTGTTCTAAGATGTAGGAAAATTCAGAATGTCTTCCCTCTTTGCTACTTTAGAAAAAAATAGTGGCTAAAAGAAATTGCATAGAATTAGCACAAACTTTTGAAATTAGTGGCACCAGCTTGGTTTTTTTTTTCATCAAGCACCACTATTCTTATGGCGCACACAGCCCTGCACCAGTTAGCCCATCTACTGATACCTCTTGGAAAGTATGAGTAGGAGATAGTGCATGGATGGAGAAAGCAATGTCAGCTCTTCTGTTATCAGAAGGAGGTAACCAACAGAGAATCTAGATGTCTTGAAAGGACATTCAAAGAAGACTCTTATGGGAAGTTCTGACTCAGATACTCTAATGATCTGGACTGCCTTTGGATGCCATGCTCCATAATTTAACTCAGAGGCCGTCAAACTATAGACTGCCTAGTTCAGTGGTGGCGAACCTATGGCACATGTGTCAGAGATGGCACTTAGAGCCCTCTCTGAGAGCATGTGCGCCGTCGCCCCAGCCCCACTTCCCCCACAGCCCCCTCCTCACCATCAGCCCCCCCCCCCGAGAATCGTCCCCGAGCGCGGTCCCCGCAGAGCAGCGCAGCCAAGGACATGGCAGCCAGGCAGCGGGGACAAGACTCCGCCCTTGAGCCCTGTCACACGCAGGTGATGCTGCGGCGCATGGACGGAGGGCATGGCTGCCATGGCACTGCTGGGCTGCCTGGGTGATCTGCTGCGATGGGCTGTGGAGGCAGTGGGTGGCCCTGCGGGTGGGCGGGGCACAGAGCGGGGGTGGGCAGAGAGGCGGGGGCAGTTTTGGGGCACTTGATCTGTAAAAGGTTTGCCATCATTGGCCTAGTTCATTTGTGAAGCCCCACAAAACAAGATAACCAAACTACTGACTTTCCATGGCCCAAATGTTTTGTCTGCAAACGATGCAAAGCTATTGGCAAGGTTTAATCCACCTCGTTTGCATCTTCCTTCCACTCACCTGAAAAAAATAAGAAAAAGGGGGCCAAACATTTTCACTCACCCTCTCCACCCAAAAAGTCACAAATCATACTGGATATAATCCAGGCAGCTCTGTGAATCTAAAAATAATACACTTTTAAAAATATATACCCTAAGCAGAGAAATGCTGCTTACTGCTGATTTAGGAAGAAGCATTGACAATCTGCCTCAAGTGCAAACTATTTTGGGTGGGTAAATACAGGTAGTCCCCAGTTTAAGAATACGTTTCATTCCCCAAGTCTCTCCTTAAGTGTATCTAAGCTGGAATCGTATTATTGTACAATAGTATTGTGCAATGAACCATGGTGTATTTAACTTCAACCATTGTGTGTTTAACTTGAATTTTGCTACAGTAGACTCCATTCTTAATGATGGGTCATCCTTAAACCAGGGCGTTCTTAACCTGGGGACTTGCTGTACACACAGGTTGTAAGAAATATCATGTGTGTATGTATATATGTTACTTCTTTCTTTAATCAACATCAGGGTCTCCAAAACACTTGCTGGATATCTCTCCAAGAGATATGCTCATGGGGGGGGGGGCAGCAAGGAGCAGAAGACAAAGGTTAAAGAATCAGCAGCTGACTCATCTCCTGCAGCACCAGAAAATTTAAAGCTACAGATATGTTCTCAGAGATGCTGACCTGAAGGTCCTTAACATTTATGAGCTCAGAGGCAGAGGTCTACTGAACCACTGAGTGATATCAGGATTATAAGGCAACCTCTGTTGCCAATGGAAAGAATATACAGATATTGAGACTGTATATAAGACAAAAGCTTCAAGGAGCTGAACTTAATTTTAATTGTATTCAACGATATAAAAAGACTCATGAATGGATGACTGATGGCTTGTCCCTGAAAAAGTATTCAGGCACGACTTCAAGAACCATATCATGAGAAATATTTAAGAGCTTTTGGCTGCCTCTGGAAGCTTTCCCGCCCTTCCTAAGGGACCTTCTGGGCTTGTGCAGCCAGAAGGGGAAGAATGCTAATCTGGACAGGCAGCCTAACTGACCTTCAGCACTGCTTTCCCCACTAAGGCCACAGGAACTGCAAGCGTGACCAGCTGTGAGAGGCTGCACCACGTGCGAGTGCCTGTCTGCTGAGGCCTGGGGGCTGTGACCCCTCAACTCCAATGGATGTCTGGTGAAAATGCCAGCCTTTTTTAGGCGTGGAACTTGCTGACAAGTGGGATTTTAGATGCACTGGCTATGCAAAAGAGAAGTAGGCATTAGGTATCTGGGTGGGCGGAACATATGACTCAGTGAGAAATTTTGATGTGTGCAAAGGAAGGCCCCTATTTACATTCAGAAAGAATAGATTGTGGGCCATACTGTTTGTGTCTAAGAACGGAATTCATTCCTTGGCTGCATTTGTATTTGGAGAATCAGGAATGGCAGACCTGATAATATAGAGGCCTCTGTCTCCCATGCAATCCGGGAGAATTGCTTCTAGTCAGAGAAAACACTATTGACCATCTAACTAGACAAGGCAATTTTATATATCCAACCACTATACATTTTCTCCAGAGTTGGAGAACAAATTCAAGGCATGGATCTAACTGTTTAATTTTAAGAAGTCCAGTCACAAGGCTGATGTCTCGGCTGTAGTGGACACATATGACTCCCTCTTTAGAAACTGAGGCTTTCTGCCCAATTTGCAGAAATTCTGTTTTGCTCTTTTCACAAACAGGAATCCCGAAATGTGCCTAAATTTTCTCCTTCACAGAAGGACTCTGGATGGTGTGCAAATAAAATGTCAAAAACATGCCTACTACGTGGTAGAGATTTCCCTCAGGAAGTCTCAGTTGGGATGGGGCTAGGATCTCTTACAAAGGATAAAACTCAGTAAATCAGGATCCACTGGAGTCTACCCTAACTGCAATTTTAACTTCAGTCCTCCTCTTTCTCCATTTCCTGACTGACCTTTGTGAGGGCCTGTTGTTCTGTGCTTAGCAGCCACCATTCCTCTTTGCCTTAATTGAAAACACTTTGCCTCCAGAGGTTTGCTTAAGGCTTATTCACTGCCTGCATGTCTCACAGTTTTCCAAAGATCAATCCAATCCTTCCAGCTGCAGGCACCCATCAGACACATGTACCTCCCCTCATCCATAGTCATTTCCAAAATGCACTTTTCTCCATGTATTTATTTTCATGTCATCATTTCATTCAACGTTCTCTTCTCAATTCACTCCCCGGGACTGTGTATATACCTGTTTCCATTCACCCTCCACCTGGCCCTCCTTGCCCCTTCTTCAAGAGCCACATCATCTCCACAGGTAAGAGCCTTCAGAGTGGGCTGCTGAACACTTGGCAGACAGGATTCAGGAAGCAGGCGACTGCCAGTGGGTGCTCTGAAGAGAAGGAATTTACCCATCTTCTGGAGTCTCGTGTGACTCTGCCACAATTCATTTACAATTTCTTCCCACCTTCTCCTCCCTCCCTTTCAGACCATCTCCCCACAGCTTCCTACCTTTCCTGCAGATTTGACGCCTTTCCAAACGCAGAAATAGACAAGGACCCAGCAAGCTAGGAGGCACAGGGTCATTTCCCAGTTGATAGCCCCAGGGTACTCCAGGCCTTTTGAAATATTCAACACCTTGTTCCTGCAAACAGAGGGAGAAAAGGTGACCACCTGAATGTGAGCAAAGATCTCCATCTAGGCAAGTGAGCACGGCTCTGCTCAGAACAGAGAACTGGGAGGTCAGCTTAGAACAGAAGGGTAAAATGCCATAACTCACTCCCAAAATTCGATGACAGGTGACCGCTTGTCAGAAAGTTCATCACAGGTAAGGTTGCTACTGGCAGTGCCATTGGCACAATCTTCATGTCGGAAGATTTCCACACACTCTGGGGAGTTCCAGGGATTCCCACAGGTTGCCCAGGGCAGGGTGGCTGTAAAAGACTTCACCAGATAGTAGAAGCCCCAGGCAAGTACCATGATGTAGTACGTGTTGCAGTAGAAGACAATCACCATGGAAGCAAATCCCAGTCCTGTTTGGAGAAATTCAGTTACTTGAAGAAAGAATGGGCTATTTTCCCTAAGGGGTGACAGAGATATGACACTGTTACACAGTGAAAATGAGTGATATGAAATATAAGTTCCATTTGCTAAATGTCCATATTTTAAATTCTGGAAACTGAACACTATTTTCATCAAACAGTAATTTAATTTGGCTTTGCATGCAGAAGGAAAGAGTAATGAAAAAGGCCCATTTCTAATCATTAGTAAAAAAAAAAAAAAAAGTAGGACTTCTTTTCCTGGCTTCTAAGATTACAGTGTGTAATTTTACACTACATACTGTCTGCTCACGTAGATTTTTATTGACATTGATTACAACCTTTTGGGGTATCAAAAGCCAGTGATCTCAGCCTGATTATTTCTGTACTGTACGTCACAAAGAGAATCATGTCTATATTTAAGCTCTTCTTTTCTATACATCCAAGTATGCCACATCTTTTTAATACCTCCTGACCAATCGTTGCCAACTTCACATATTCTTCTAATTTGGGCACATCTCAGAGATCAATCTATTGGATCTTTTGATATCTCCTTGGTTTTCACTGAAGATCCCACAGTGATGTTCTGACTTGGGAAGTTGAGAGAAGATGCTATTAGAAGGTAGCTCAACTTTTCCCCACGAACAAACTCATAAGAGCAATAAAAAGAAGAAAGGGGGGGTTAGTTGTAAAAAGAGACCTTACCTTTGAAAAGTGGCGCTATGTTCCATACCGCGATGCTTCCAGCCTTCATGAATTGCCCCAAAGAAATTTCCAAGAAGAAAATGGGAATCCCACCAAGGAGGGCAATAAGAATGTACGGGATGAGGAACACACCTGTAGCCAAGTGAGCAACACAAAGTAAGCAACAGTGTCATTCTTCAATTCTAGACCACTTCAGCCTTTCCCAGTGGTACAGATTGATTTATAGGTTTGTTATACTAAAAACATTTTTAAAAACAGCATCTAAATCTAATCCAATTTAATCTAATCTAAATTGTGCACTAGGAAAAGCTGAGTCCTGCCCCAAAAGCTGAGTCCTGTGAAATTGGCATCATTTTCATAATTTATTCTGCTTCAGTTTGTTGATTGAGAGGAGTGCAGGGGTGTCAACTGAAATCTTTCTCAATGGAAACAGTATATAGTTGATTCGGGGTTCTGAGATACCATCAGATCCTGGCACACCTTGAAATTTAATCTCAGATGTCATAATGTTTAAAATATGCAAGAATTTCAGAAGGTTTTTGCGGATTGGGGAGAAGCCAATGAAATGAAATTCAGGTTAGAAGCTGGATTTTTTTTTTTCAATCAGTACCCTAATTTGTGGCTTCTGTGGTTACTTGGAATTGTAATATTTATTGTATTTTAATTCTTCCCAGTTCTGAGACCTCTTCATTTGTTGCCACCACTTAACTTAACTTTTTCCAACTTTCTAAGTATTTTGAGATTGCACAATTGAGAATCGGCCTTGCTGGCTGGATCATCTTCCTCAAACGTGTTAAGGGTGCTATGCTGGAGAAAGCTGGCTGAGCTGAAATGCATTCTTTGCTCTCCATTTAGAGATATTTTGCTGGCAAAAGTCTTTATGTATGAATGTCTGCAAAATATACAGAGGAAGACCAGATCCCTAAGGTAGCTGCTATAGAGCTGGAAAGGAGATAGAATAAAAAGGAGACTCTGTTGTTCTCTATTATTATCCTTCTGACTTTTGTCTTCTGGTCATTTAATCATAGGTGCTTCTTCAGGCTCCCAAGATCAAAAAAAGATCTCTGCTTCTCCCTGCATTGCCCATATTGGTCATCGCCATGTGATCTTGATCTGTTTCCCTCTTTCCCCAAACAGTTCTCAACTTTCCTGTCACCATTGTTCACAAGTGTGCCAGCCTCACAGCTGTGATGGACAGGCTGGTGTGTTCCCAAATACGTGTGTGCATGTGGGCCTCAGCATGAATCGCCTCAAGGACTCTATTTATAGTACAGATCTCTGGGTTAAGGGAAGGCCCAAGTATTGCTTCTTGTCCTGCCAATCCCTAGTTAAAAGGATAATCATGGGGATATAAACTCTTTCCCATGGGGATTAACAAGGCAATGGTTGGGGAATCCATTCATCGCTGCATATAGGCAGGGACATCTATCACCCAGGAAATGCAAATGGAAGTGAATATGTGCCTCTGCACATGGAGCGGCCAAGGCACAGCACGCTGCAAGACAAGAATGTGTGTGTGCTAAGGCTGATTTGAAGATGATATGGGATTTTGTGCTTCTGTTTACACATTTAATCAGATCAGTTGAAAAAAAAACAGAAGCAGACGCATTCCTGGAATGTGACTAGGTTTGATTAGTATTAATTTTGGGATTTGGGTAGGTAAGCATGTTGCGGTTTTGGTTAGTTAATGGTTCAAAGGATTGTGCAAACTCAGGACATGGAATAATGCAACAACCGGATGGAATATATCAAGTGAATGAAGCCTACGAGTGGGTGTTTGGGTGTGAGTATTGTGCATGGCTTTATCTGAATGGCTATCTGAAATCCAGCATTTTCTCAAATGGTAAACCTGCATCTGAGATATTCATTTCCAAGTGAGGCTTCATATGACTCAATATTTTATTTTCTTATTTTGAATCCCTGCATGCAGAAAGCTAGCAATCCAGAGGAAACGATTCTGGCATGATTCTGGCATAATCTTGGTTTTGTTTTGCATAGAAACCCATGTCAGTCTCAAATTCTTCCTTTCAGTCTGATACCTACAGGTACAAGTTTATTCCTATAAATCAGCCCAGAGTCAAAACTACCCTTTCTTGGAACAGCTTTTATAGAACGAATTAAGGTCTGAAATGTGTGATTTGCAATGGTAAGGGCTGCTTTTAGGAACACTCAAACTGTATGCCTCATTCCATTAAATAAAGAGACTAAAAATGGCTTCTTATCAATTTTCATATTCTTTATTTCTGTTTTTCAATTATCGACTCCATAAGGCATGGTGAATGAATGGAAACATCATGGTTAGATCATGAAATAAATTGGTTGGACAATCATTCCCTCTATGCAATGAACTTTAGAAATATTTGTCAAAGGAAACAGATTGCTCACAGAATTCTCAGCAATCTCTCCAAATTGTAGTTATCAGGCTTGAAAATTAATTTATGAGGCAATTAATATAACAGCCTTCCCTCAGGAATTAAACTGCAGCTCCCATCTTCCTCAGCCAATGAGGCCAGATGACCGTATACAAATAGTCACACATTGGGGAAAACTGTCACAGACATATGCAGTATAAATATGTCTTCAGTGTTGCCTCTATGTATATAGCTCAGTGACCCCTTCAAGGTAGTAATGAGAGGCGATCAAAGAGCATTTTCTGAATTCACCATATTTTCACAGACCAATGTTTACAAGGATGAGAAAGTGTTAATTGCTGCCTGAAGAGTGGGATGCTTTAATCTTTTGGAGAGTTAGAGGGAGAAGCAAGGGGATAACTGGAAAAATGAAATCTCATGAATTAAAATGGTCACTGTTCTGTCCACAGCAATTTTTCACACCTGAAGAAAAGCACTGACATTTTTCTCTTTTCAATCCTGGCTAGAAAGACTGAGATCATTCATCCCTTGTGATCTCCTCACACTCCTTGACAAACCCAGATTTATTCTATTCTGGCTCTCCATCTCAGCCAGCCTGCAGCTGCATGTCTAACAAATGCAGTGACCAGCAGCACTTGTGAACGGGCGGACTCAGGTACAATGCTCCAAGCACACCAGCTTGGGTACAACCTCTGATAGTGGAAGCTTCCACCCCTCCACCCACACACCCCACTGAATGAGGCAACCGTCTTCTCCCGGAATTTGCCCCCCAGCAGCTGTGGCCTGCTCTGTGCCATGCTGTGGCTTTTACACAAAAGAAATTTCTCCCGGCTGTCAGCTGAGTAAAAGAGGAAAGTTCTCAGGGCCTCAGAAGGGGAGGCAGGCGATTATCTCAGCCTCAGCACAAGGCAACCGAGTCATTTTCCCCAGAAGAAAGGGGAAAAAAATGATTCTATTCCAGGAAGTTTGGAGAAATTGGAAGAATGCATCTCTATTTCAGCCCTGGACCATTCCCCAGCCATTCTCACAATATGCTTTATCACCAAACACTGCCTTCTCCTACTTTCTCTTTCCTACCTAACTTTTCTGGCCACCCAGCCCCGCTGATTGTTTGGATCACTTTTTCTGCCCTTTCTAAGCTCCTTGTAAGCTTCAAAACTTTATTAGAGCAATTTAAACTCATGGCCTGTAAGAGCTGATAGGCAACTAAGACATCCTGGTTATGAGATCGGGTCATATGCTTATCCTTGCTGGCCTAGAGGGTGGAAAGCAGTCTTTTCCCCATTTCCCCCCACCCCCAGCATCAGTTGCTGGATAAGATCTGGATCTCACTGGGGATTATTCAACTGTGGTGACAGAAGTCATGTTCCACTCCAAAAACACGTAAAACATAAACAGCATCTCTAACCCACTTGTCAAGTTCAAAGTTTTGGCAATCTCTTTGGTTATTAGCTCAGGCTGAATCCATTCTTTATTAGCATAACAAGATTGACCAGTAATGCCAACACTTTCAGGAACAATAGCTCCCAGAACTTTTCAATGGAGAAAGAGGAAATAAATGTATCTTTCTCAGAAAGTGCCTGTTTAAAACAGTAGGGTTGTCCAAATCCTGTCTTTTCACCAATTGTGCTTAATCAGTTTCCACTTCTTTATCTCAAGTCTGGATTGAGCAAGTGATTTGTTCTTTTCCTTTCACTTTCTGTCCCTCTGTCTTGAAAAAGGAACAGCCAGGGCTTGTAGTGACTGATACCTGCTAAATTTGTCCCATGCAAATATGAGATGAAAACTGGCTCCAGGGATGCAGCTGAGAGTTTTATCGTTCTTCTGTAGCCTGCCAAGGTACTTTTTTTTTTTTTTTTCATTTGCACGTACAACTGTCTTAACAGAAAGGGCAGATTACAAGGAAGCATTCTGAATCAATAAATGCAAGGAGAAAAAGGCAGAGTACCATCCGTGATGGAGGGCCTTGGACAGCAAGGTTTGCAAAAAAAAAAAAAAAAGATATTATCGGTCCTTTGCAAGGTTTGCTAAACTGAGACAATTGTCCTTGGCTATTAAAAGACTGCCTTTGCATGTTTTTTTGCTTCGCTTTTGTTCCAACAAGCACAAAATGGTGAACATACCACGTAATTCTCACCACATTCTAATTTGACTTTTGAAGTTAGGTAAGGTTAAAAATAGGTACTAGTTCAAGATCACCAAACCGGAATGGAAATTGTATTCCAAGTCACCAGCTCAAGACTGCAAGTATCACTAACAGCACTTGTCAGAGAGAAAGAGTTGTAAAAGGGTCAGCTGGACCTGGTTGTTTTACCCAAGAATCAGGCAGCATGTGAGTGTGACGCAATGTGCATCACATCAGCCAATGGCAGTCCTTACAGTATTACTGCTTTTCTGTTCTCCTCTCCTAAAATCAGCAAGGAGAAAAACCACCTATCCTTAAGGGAGAATGAGATACAATTTTGGCCTTGTTGCTGTAGAAATAATGAACCAAAATGGGAGCAATAAGGAGACAGTAGGATCCCAACCCCCTTTTACAAAGGTCATAAAATTCTAAAGAAGGAGAAGAGCCCCTCCTCTTACTTCATTGCCAATTAAAGAGATGCTAGGGTAGGACTGGGGCAAACCTAAAAAGCTATGGACTTTGAATGTGCAAGGACTGGCCATGGTAATCTGACAGAGGGGGCAGGGCCCCTGAACACACGCACTCAGAGTATTCTACTACTCACTTCCTTTTCCTATGTTTTATGGGATTAAGCTCCATTTTGGTAGAAAGAATTTAGCTTAAGCCTAGGAGACGTGGGTCTCCTCTCTTCGCCAATCCAGTCCCCAGTAGATTTGTCCTTCCCATGGCCTTTGGCAAAATACTCAGGCATGGTGTCGCACCAGTTAAACACATCAGAGAGGAAATGCGCTCTTCTTGGCTTCTCACTCACTTTGCCCTCTGCATCCCTCCTCAGATTCATAGATTGAAAAGGGATAGATCCCAGAATGGATCACATGCGCTGTGGCCTGGAGAATGCCAGAGAAGCCCTCTTGGAGACGGGACGGTGGAAACAGGCCTGGTGAAAAGATCACGTTTTCTGGGATTCTCTGCAGTTCTCGGCAGCAATCCCTGTGCCAAGTGCACCTTGGCTCCTGCCAGAGCACAACTGCTTTCCAATATAACGTTTATGACTTATTAAACCACAGATGGCCTTACTGCTTTTCTCCAAGGCCAGTAGGTTATTGAGACAACATGGGAAAAAATGACACCCATATTTTTAAGGAAGCCAGCTAAGTGTGGTAGTCAAGGGCAGTGCCAGATGAAGGCCCAGTAAATCCAGGTTCCTGGCACCCATGGGGTTCACTGGATGCTTTTCAGCCAGGCATTTTCTCTTAACCTGTTCTACCCTTCAGGGTTGTGAAGGTAAAGTGGGAGAAGGGCAACAACCATGTATGCCACAAGGAATTATTTGGAAAGAAGGCAAGAAATAATGTAATAACAAGCATGTAAACAGTCTCCTCCCCCATCCCACATGCTCTATCACATTTAAATCTTCAAGATGGATGCTATCCAGATATGTTATATTGTGAAACGTGATTAACTACATGCTTTCTGCAATTACGTTTCCCAATATACAGAAAATAGGAGGACAAAGCAGTTGCTGGGGAGGATTGGAAAGGAACCAAAAAGTGCTAGAAGTTTCTGTTCTGACCAATTCACGCATAAAATGCCCTTTCACAATATGTTCTAAATTTATTTTGTATTATTTGAATAAAATTTGAGGAAGGCAAGATTTGCCACTGAGACTCATTCATCCAGGAAGGACTACCATGGCCCTCCTTTCAGCCAGCTATGCCTTCTCTTTGCCCCCCTGGTGTTCCCAAATGGTCCCGTCCTCCCCTGTAATTATTCCCCCAACTCCAATCTCCAGATGAAGCAGCCCAAATTTGAAATAGGTGAGGCAACTGACTTGGGGTGTCCTGAAAGAAGATGCAACTCTGGAGGCTCGCTTGTTGTATAAGGGGGAAGTGAATGAGAGATTTGGAAGAATCTAACCATGGAATCTGCAGGATAACTCAGGATGGCCCCAGGAGAAATGCCCTGTGAGTGTGGCTCATTGGTTATCAGCGTATGTGTGTGAGCGCATGGGCAAGCGCATATGGGTATATGTGCATATACGCAACATCTTTCTAGGTTTTCAACTAAACACCAAAATAATCTCAAAGAGGCTTGGGTCTTCATCTCACCATGTGCCCCGCTTAACGTGTTGCAGTGGAAAAGAGACAAGAGTAAGTTCTTTCTTAAGTCCCTCTATGGTAGGAGATGCCAAGTGATACAAGAGCCCCAAAACATTGGAAGGAAGCGAGTTCCCACAGTCAAACTGGGTTAGGAAAACTTTCCTGCTTCCCTTCAATGTGCTCCCTCTTGAGGGACTTTGAGATCCACAAATGCAGGATGGGGAGGTGTTTATATTGTATCCCCCTTCAGTGCAGCAGCCATGACTCTCTCTCAACTTTGATGGGAAAAGGCAATCCTCTGCCCAGAGGGCACTCCTTTCTGTAAGCTGGCAGCTGCCCTTTGCTCCCTGCCTAGCCACGGATGTGTGCGGTGACAACCACAGTGCTAACTACTTGTATCCTTCTCTGCCTCTCAACATTCCCACTGAACGCAGGATTTCTCCCCTATCTGATCACAGCTCTATCTTCACCCTTGCTCATATTTCAGCCTGGGTAAATTCCCTGCATCTTCCAAGGAGCTTAATCTTCTCCTGTGGGATTTTTTTGGTAATGTCCCTGGTAGAATGAGGCTTTGGGGGATTCTTGCAGGACATCTCCCACAAAGATTTCTTTTTCCTTTCCAATCTCACTTCTGGATTCCTTCTGTTGTGACCAAGATTTCAGCCAACAAAAATTTCCTAAGTGATGATCTGACTCATTTTCAAGTCTTGTTTTTAAATTGTGTGGTCCGGGCCTGAGGCTTTTAGATTCCAGGTAGGCGTGGGACTGAATGCGCCTATTGAAGAAGACAGGGAAGGCCCTCCGTGCAGAGCATATTAGCCCCCATTCCCAGATTCAGCCCTAACTTTTGAAAAACCCTGGAGGCAGTAGTGGGATTCAAATATGTGAACAACCGGTTTTATGTGTGGATGCTGCTTCCGGAAGTCCATTCTGGGCCTGGGCAACAAAAAATTAACTACTGGTTCTGCCGAACTGGTGCGAACTAGCTGAATCCCACCACTGCCTGGAGGCTAAGCCAAAGGGTAGAAATTCCACTCTAGGAAGAGAGCAGGCTAGATCGTTTTTCTTTCCAAGGCACCTTTAATCATTTGCTCTTGCTGCTGCCAGCTCTGGGTCCTGGATAGCCTTACAAAGTATTCTTGAGTTTAGGATGTCAGCCCAGAAAGCCACTGTTCCAAGGCTTTCTCAGGTCCCTGTTCTTCCCAGTGGGCCTGGACCTTGAAGCTTCCTTAAGGTGAAAGCTGCAGGCTCCAGATTGTAAAAGGTTCCCATGCGATTCTGAAGAATCGCTGACCCTCACCCCCTTTCAGATTATAAGGATCCTGGCGACCCCTGCGCACCCCCCCAGCCTCCCTTCCATCCGGACCTCACGGCCGCAGGTTGCTCACCTCCCCCGTTCTTGTAACACAGGTAGGGAAAGCGCCACACGTTGCCTAGCCCCACGGCGAAGCCCACGCAGGACATGATGAAATCCATCTGCCGGGTCCAAGTCTCTCTCTCGCGGGGCGGCAAGGCCAGGGTCGGCTTGCAGGAGTCCACGGCCTCCCCTTTGCTCCCGACTGAAGCTCCTTGGCACATGGCGGCTGCGGGGGATCCCGTCTTTTTGTCCTGCGGTTCGACCGAGACGCTGTAAATGCCGCCGCCGCCGCCGCCGCCGCTCTCCGACGAAGCCCCCTTGGCCATGGTGCCTGGGGGGATTCTCGAGTCCTGGTCGCCCCCTTCCAGACGGATCGAGACGATGCTCAAAAGAGAAAAGGAGAGAAGGGCTGCGAAGGGGGGGGGTGCAGTCAGAAGCCCCCTCGCAAGAGGCGAGCGGCAGATGGTGGAGAGTGGAGTCTGAGCTGGGGCTGGGGCTCGCTGGGGCAGGTAGCCGGCTTGGAGGGGAGGGCTGGGATTTTGCAGAGACTCAGAAACAATCCACGAAGCACTTGAAGGTCAACCTGAAAAACCTCATGTGTTCAGTGGACTCGGGGAAGGGGGTTGCTCGAGGGCGAAGGTCGGCGAAATCCGCCGCGGGGGGAACACCCCCACAATACCCCGCCCGGAGTCACGGCAGGGCACGGGGTAGGGGCCGGAGGGGACGCGCCGATCCCTTCGCGTCCGTCGCCTTCGCGCTGCTCTGGTCGATTCTGGGCTTGCCGCTTCGGGTGCTGCCGCTGTCTGCTCGCAATCGCCGCCCCTTCGAGGCTGCTGGAGGAGAGAGCCCGTGTGACGTCAGCCGGCCCGGCCCCTTTCCTCCCTCCCTCCCTCTCCTCCCTGCCGCTCCGCCGCCGTCGCCGGGATTCGCCGACTGCTCCCCCTCCCCCCTCCTTCCTCCTCCTTAGCGCTCCAGCACTGCCAGCCGCAGGGAAAGGCGGCAGTCCGCGGGCAGCGGAGCAAGACGGGTGTGTGTGTGTGTGTGGGGGGAGCAATTGCAGCGGCCGTTTTTTTTCTTCCCATTCCGCCCCCCCCGCACCTGTTCCCTCCCAGAGTGCTACTCTATAATAATGCTCCTGCCTTTCTGGATTTGACTTCGGAGTTTGCTGAGAAAAGGCACGTTTCCACTCACGCGGTTTGCAGGCAGAGCGTTGTTTCAGCTGCAGTTCCTCCCGCCTCGGTGATCCGCTGTATGCGCGCACTTAAACGGAAGTGTCAGCGGCACTGCGCGCTTTTCTGTTACGTGTTCAGCTGGGAAGGAGCGAGCTGGGAAGATCTCCTCTCCCCGCCCCCCAAATTAACAAGGGTCCCCCACAAATATGGCTATCATATTCCTGGATTTGGAAGTACAGAAGTTGTAAAGTAGAATTTATCGTGGAGGGAAGGGGAGATTGCCTTTGAAAAGTCCAGCAACGGTATAAGTCTCACGTGTTTCAGTTCAAGATTCTACATTTAACTTATAGAATATTTAACGTTTTGGAACCAGGAAAGCACCTTCTTTAATAAAGTCCTCTATATTTGTTCCAGTTTCAATTAGGTACCCTCTGAGAAGACAGGGAGCGGGGCCTTTTTAGTGATGGCACCCACTGAAGGAATATTCTTCTAGCCATCCACTGTTTTCTAAGAACATTTTATTCTTTCACTGCCAGTTTCAAAACAAAGTTTTTTGAGGGAGAAGGCCTTTGGCTATATGGGGGGCGGGGAGTTTGCCGCTTTGTTCCTAAGGCTGCTTTGTTACATGATACCCCTTGCTAAAGTATAACATTTTGGGATACATTCTTCATCTGGATTGAAAGATGTGCCCTTTAAAGCAGTGGTTCTCAACCTGTGGGTTGGGACCCCATTTGGGGTCGAACGACCATTTCACGGGGGTCGCCAAACAATGCAGTCCGCCATTTTTTTCCCCCTTTTCCTTAGCTGTGCTACTCCCTTTTATTCTATTGGCTTTTGAAAGCCACTAGAATAGACTCTCTTGAATAGAGTCTAATTCTATTGGCTTTCAAAAACCAATAGGAATTGTCCAGGCTGTCTCTGCCCTGCTGAGCCCGCCAAAAGTCCCATTCTACAAACGATGCTGCACCAGTTGAGTAGTCCTCGACTTATGACCAGTTGAGTAGTCCTCGACTTACGACCGGTTGGGGGGTCACGGCATTAAAAAGGTTGAGAACCACTGCTTTAAAATGTGGCAACCTTTTAAATGAATACATTTAGAAGCTTTATCTCTTGAAACTTGGGTCTTGTCAACATACCCTTCTCCTTTGAATTTATCTAGGCATATTTATGTGTATATAAACAAGTATAGGAGTTTGTGGCATTAAACACACAGATGTAGAAAGTGGGCCACTCCTTATAATGATTTGTCCCACAGCCAGCCTATAGTGGGATATTCTATACATATTTTCTCAGAAGTAAATTCTCAGGAACTGAACCAGAGGACTGCCGTAGCTCCAGAAGTAAACATTGGTTATTGTTGGTGATGTGAATGGAAAAATATTCAGCCCGTGGCCAGCATTTCTTCCTTTTGTATTATTACCTAAGAACTTGTTCATATATTATACCTCTTTCACACCCTGTACCTTCCAACATGGACTAAGCCAGCCTATGCCCATCTCTCTGCCCTCACCCCTGCAGTAAACACTCAGGACAGATAATATAACTGATTAAATGGCAATAAGGAAATGAATGCTTACTTATTTATTTAAACAATTTATAAGACTGCCCATCTCAAAGCAGGGACTCTGGGCAGCACAAAGTGGATTAAGCCAACAAAAGATAATGAAACTATCTAGTAATACCTAATCTATACAGAACAAACAACAACTCCGCCAACAGCTGGTTTAACTTCTTGGTTCCAGTGAATATATGTATGTTGACAATATAACAGAATTAATGTTTATAAGATTTATAAATGTTTACGCCAATTAAATAACGTGTGGACTTCAACTCCCAGAATTCCCCAGCCAGCCAAGATTGCCAAGGTTGAAAAACACTGTTTTAGCTGATATATCAAGAATGCCTAAATACACGTTTTACAGTCCTACATATGTTTAGCCAGAAATCTGTTCTGTTCAATTTTTAGGGACTTCACTTTTAGCCAATATTGGTAGAGCTTAGCGGGGGGGGGGGGAAGGCAAAGTGGGACTGGATACCATATGGATGGGGGAAATCAACTGAAATGACAGACAGAAGATTGTGCTATAATCAATATTTAGTGGCATAAACTTTATAAGTCAGAGTTCACATATTCCATAATCATATATATAGTTGAACCCACAGTAACAGATGCTTCTTTATAGGCTGTGTGGCTTGTGAATTCGTTTACTACCAATGCATTACAAGTAGTCCTCATTTTACAACCTTTCATTTAGCAGCCTTTCAAATTTGCAACATCACTGAAAAAAGTGACACAACCAGTCCTCACACTTAACAACCATCACAGCATCCCCGTGGTCAGAATTTGGTCGCTTGGCAACTGGCATGTGTTGACAATGGTTACAGTACCCTGAGAACATGTGATCATCCTTTGCAACCTTCCTAGCTGTCTTCCAACAAGCAACACCACATTTGCTTAACGACTGTGTCATTCAGTTAACAAACATGGCAAAAATGGTCATAAAATTGGGCACGTCTCACTTAACAACCTCCTTGCTTAGTCATGGAAATTCTGGTCCCAATTGCGGTTGTCAGTTGAGGTCTACTTGTTGTCTTTTGAGTTTTCCCCAAACTCTTCTGCTGTTTTGTTATTTGCGCTTAACTTAGCTTCCCTTCTGGGTTTTGCAAATGGCTAGTGGTTTTATTTTTCTTCAGTTTCATTTCTCTCCCTCAAGGTTTGAGCCTAATTACCAGAAAGGTCCTTGTGTGGTGGCAATTTTGGATCCCTTCATGTTTGGTGAGAACAGGACGAGATGACAAGGGCTGGAAAGCACAAACATTATGAAATGGCTTGATACTTTGTGTCTGTGCAAGAATATTACTTGCTGGAGAATAATTTTTGCACAGTACTGGAAGAATGAAGGATTGCCATCAGAAGAAGAAATAATCACGAAAATATTGGAATGTGCAGAGATGGACAGACTAACTATGAGGCTGAAAGACAAAGAAGATACGGACTATTATAAAATTTGGAATTTATTTTATTCTTGGTTAGAGAAAAGAATGAAGGATTAGGAACTGAACATGTATTAGCTTAACAAACACTAGACAACTTGTTTGATTGGAAAAATTAACATATGTTGATGGAAAAAATTAATAAAAAAGATTGTTGAAAAAAAAAGAATATTACTTGCTGGCATGTGGTGATAGCCCAGATTTCTAGCCTTTAACAATGCTGGCTGAGCTAAGTAGGAAAAGGAACTGAAATGCTAAAATGAACCGAATGCCTTCGTTAGGAGAGACAGCAAGAAACAGCACAAGAGCTTTCCAAAGGCAAAGGGTTCTGTTCTTGATCTCATAAGCAGCAACCGCAGTTTAGAATCTAATTTAGAAAGACATTGTTTCTGTACTCTAATGAAAGACATATGCCTGTGCATTTTTAACCATATTTCTCTTCTATCGTACTGAAAAGAGAGGAAATACCAGCAACACAAAATGTGTTTAGCTCTTTTGCCCAAGCTATCCATCCCCTTCCCCTTAATTGCCAAGACCTCTGACCTTCTGCAGGTCTTTAGTCCCTGTGTTGAGCGTGCCTACATTCCCTCTTCTAGCCACCCCAAAACTACATGACCCTTCTGATGCCAGCAGGTGGATTGAGCCCATGAGCTCCAGTTCTACTTTGGGCAAAAAGCCAACCGAGTGACCTTGGGTCAGCCTCTTTTTTTTTTTTTTTTTAGCCCTAGGAAGAAAGCGATGGCATACCATTTCTGAAAAACCTGGCCCAAAAAATTGCAGGCACTTGTCCAGGTAGTCTCTGAGATGTGGACATGAGTGAACGAAGAAAAAAAAAAATGTTTGAATTATCTGGCCTGGAATTGTTAAGTCTTTTCCCATCATCATTGAAATTGCTTATAATAATACCATAAAATCATTCTTCATAATATTCTTTCTTTGCGATATTCAAAATCCAAGCTCTGGCACTGAAAATAAGTCTCTAGACCAGGGGTAGGCAACCTTGGCTCTTTTATGCTCATGGACTTCAACTCCCAGGGCTGGCTGAGGAATTCTGGGAGTTGAAGTCCACGAGTCATAAAAGAGCCAAGGTTGCCTACCCCTACTCTAGACTAAGTCTTAAGGTACACCGTGCTCAGCTCTGATGGTTTAATATTTGGTGCCTTCTAACTCCTGATACTAAACAACAATACAGAAATCCCCGACTTACGACTACAATTGGGACCAGAATTTCTGTTCTAACCAGGCAGTTGTTAAGTGAATTGTTTTATGACTTCAGCCACAGTTGTTAAGTGAATCACTGCAGTTATTAAATGAATCACATGATCATTAAGCGAATCTGGCTTCCCCCACTGATTTTGCTTCTCAGACGCTGGCTAGGAAGGTCACAAATGGCAATCACATGACCCTGGGATGCTGCAAAAGTTACAGTTACTTGTGGTTGCCAAGTATCTAAATTTTGATCATGTGACCTTGGGGAGTCCGTGATGGTCATAAGTGTGAGGAATGGTCGTAAGTTACCTTTTTTCAGTGCTGTTGTAACTTCAGATGGTCACTAAACCAGGGGTTGTAAGTCAAGGACTACCTGTAATCACCTTCGTCAACAATAATCATGATCAAAATAACAGCAACAATAATTGAACTTTTTACCTAATGTTCTGAGTAACGTTGGAATTATTCTTAGTAATACCTTTGCCAGCATTTCCACTTATCGCACATTCTGATTGCCTAAAGTCCGTCTGGCCAAACAAAGTTCATGAAATTGTTGATGACATAATCCGTTTTCTTTAACCAGTAGGCTGCTATGAGTGTACAGTATTCACTATTCTGTTGAACTTTGCAGTCTTTCACTTCCTCTCCCCGTGAACCAGGCTGCCTTACTCAGAACCATACAGTAAGACACCATACAGTAGGAAGTTGCATGAAAAATAGCAGGGCATGCTTCCTTTGATGCTTCTTTTCTACACGTCCTCTTGCACCAGAATTGGCCACCACCTATTCACTTGGCTGGAGAGCTTTGAAAAATGCTCCCTCGTTCATTTGTGCTCCCCTGACATCCTCTTCAGTCCAGATTTAAACTGGATCTGCCAAGAGCAGC